TAAACTGAATGACTTATTAAAACACCGTGCTTTTTATTTTTATCTCTACATTTTCGTATTATTTGCCATTTGTTTCCCCTACCCTTAAAAGCTCCCTATTGTCACCGCTCTACTTTACACGAGTCTGTGGTTACTCGTTGCACGGTGGGGTTACACAACCTATCGTTGCTAACTAATATATCTGCGTATATACTTTCCTTTTTTACGCTCTGGAATCCTATCAGTTTCCTCTAACGTTTTAGGTCCCAGCGCTTGTGTTATCCACGAGTCCCTCCTACGTGTCCACCTCACCCTTTTTGATGGTCTCTGCTCCCAACTCGTCAACCTTCCCTCAGGTACGTAGGTATCCTGTCTGCCTGAAAATAATGCTCTACGTAGTGTTCCCCTCTTTCCCTCCGGTACCTCTAGTTTCTCTCGTTGCTCTCTCCTCATAGCCCTTTTGTCTCAGTCCTGCATAAAGTGATGGTTACTTTTCTGGGGGTGAGTTTTGTGTGCGCGCGCGCTTCTGTGTTGCGTTCCTGTTTGAACTGGGCTCGTTTGCCAATTCCCAGATCATTTCTGTTGGTTGCGTGGATCGAAGTTCGTTTTGAATGCCAGCATAAGTGTTAACTAGTTTAGCATCTGACGGAGGATTCTGCATACTTTTATGGGGGAGCATCGTCCAGCTGTTCCCGCGACTCTATCGTCCATCGAGGGTCTGACTTGGCTACATGGAAGGTGTGCCCTTCCTAAGCCTAAATTCGTATCCTCCTCCTGAGAGGGTAATTATTTGATCGCTGGAACAAGAACCTTATTGGCCTGACTTTTCAATTTCTGACTCTAACTCCTCGCAGAAAAGGATGATGCAGGGACAGGGTGCGCAGTATTTCTAGTCCGCAGGGACCATGCGACCACATGCGTGCTACAGTTAACAGCTCTCGTGGTCACTGATGGAGGTCGTAATTAATGTGATGATCGCATGGCGGTCCGCCTCCGCGTCGTTAAATATCACAATGTCAGCCTCCGTTCACTGTTATTGGACCACGCGACCACATGCTTGCTATCTCATCTATCACTCCTAGCTTCGATTCTGTCTGATGATGGGTTAGAAGGTGAACCCCAAACGTCAATCCGATAAACTTCTTGTTCCGGCGATCGCATCTTTTTCTGAACTGCTTCTTGGAACTAGTCTATTCGTTTCCATCTTATCGTACTCCTCCTTTTAAGTCACGGGAATAGAACCCCCTAACACCATGTAATACAGGTGGCCTAGCGCAAGATTCAAAGAATGGGTAAATATTCCCATCCCTAATACTGACATTGATCCATCCCGAAATCCAAAAGTAAGTTAGCCCTAAGTAAAGGAGACATATGGTCGATCACTGGAACAAAATTTATTTTTTCCAGAGCTTTCGAGCTCTTACAAGAGCCCATCGTCAGAAGTGGAGAAACAGCTATAAATGTGGAAGCTACTTGGGGCGTGTGTACAATAACTAAAATTTTGAACGTG